TTGAAATCACACAAATAACAGCTCGGTTTTATTTATGTGAAAGTATCTACTTGTGTGTACATATGAATGTTTATGCTTGTATCTACCTATCAGGTACCTATTTGTCTATGTAAGCCTGGAATCTGCAAACAGATGTGTGATATGATGCAATCCTTTGTAGCTCCTATCAGAGGCACATGCATAAGCATGTTAAAAATATGGGAAAGTATAGTGACTTACAGGCATGAGTTTTATTGGATAAAGCTCTATAAAGAAATGAAACTGTGCAGATTATATTCACTACTCAAATATTGAAAAATAAGAAAGTGATACATTCTGTCATGCATCGCTTTGAAAGGCTTCATAGTGGTTTTGTTTTCCTTTTAATAGCATGGTCCAGTAGATAAAGCACTGAACAAGGAGTCAGAAGAACCAGAGATAATTTCTTCCTGTATCACTTAGCACTGATATTCTCATGGAGCATTTCTTTTTGCTTCAGGACTCTCTGTGAAATGAGAATAAGCATCTTCTATCACAAGCTTCTGCCAAAGAGATTTTACTTTTCTCAATTGCATGTGTAACATAACTTCTTGAGGAAATACCTAAACCTGGCTCCAAGATCTACATACCAGGAAGCCCCACTGTCTTTCATAGTCCAGACTCTGGCCTGAAAATCACAGGCTTTTAACTTAACTCCACATTTTGTAGAGGGTTTAACCCTTGGGAGAAAAGCAGTGCTCATTAACACTTAGTCAAAGTAAAATTTCAAAAGCAAACTTATTAAGTGGTCAGATGAGGAGACGCAAAGTTCCCAACTTGAAATGGCGTCTTAGTGGTGCCATTGTCAGTGTCAGAGCAGAACGACTGACCATTTTATTTTTTGAAATCTACCAAGTGTTTGCAGTTCACTTTGATTTGTTGTCAGTATGCCCTTGTTTCTCTATGTCCCTTCTCTTTTTCACATGATTTTTTTTGATCATAATCAGGTGTCTGATAGATTTTGCTTTTCATTGTCTTAGCTATGGTAATTGCCTTAGATAATTACCCTATGATATTTTTTTTGGATGGCTCTTTCAGATAGGCATGACTGTGCTGACTCAGCTTGGTGAAATGTATTAACCCACTCTTGTACTTGTAAAGAAGTGAAGAACTGAGGCTTGCAAAAGGAAACTAAGAGGGTTCCAAAATAGTCTTGTGTAATTCAGACATTCCTTTTTGAAAAATAATTTAAAAAATAATAAAAATCTATGAAACAATACTGTCAGAAATGCATGATGTCAGGTAGCAATGAACACAGATATTCATATTTGCAGTGTGGTCATTTCTTACCTAATAATACCTGCAAGAATGCCCTCTGCAATTAATACTCCAAGTTGATTTGAGAATCTGTTTCTTAAATCTTTAATTTATTACTGGAATATTTTGCAACTCTAAGGTGGTTACTGTTATCTTGTATGTGTTGCATTTAGAGCATGTTCCAAAGACATTAGTAAAGAGCAATTTAAAGGAAACTTCTTGAGGCAATGTGTTTTATACTAGTAAGATACGTGGACAGAGGTCCTCAGCATGTTATGGAGACAAAGTTTGCTCTTCAGAGGACTAATGAAAACTTGAAGTACTGTAGAATTGTTTCCTTTTGAAAAGTTTCAGATTTGATGACTTTTTTTGTCAGAAAAGTCAATTGCTTTTTTTAGGCAAATGTTGCCTCATATAACTTCTTAAAGTAGATTCTTTTAAATTTCTTATCTTAAAGGCTACTTTTTCTCTCCTGCATAGTTGTCTTTCCCTATAATTTTCCTGACACTTCTGAAAACTGTAGCATCTGTGGTTATATAGTTAAAATTATGTATTTGTAATATTTTCAATCAGTTCATAAGATTACATTTCATTTGGGAAGTAAAAAGATCATGACTGATATGGCAGCCGACTTCATAAATTGTGCGTAAGAAGGCTTGATGAAATACACACATTTTTGATCACAAATTTATGGTCTTGGCAGAAAGTAATGAATCTAGATGTCTATGATACGTGTGTTTTATCTTTTACACACAACTTCAAATATGAAAAACAAAAAGCAAAGGTGCCCTTCTGGCCAGAAAGAAAGAATCCTCAAAAATTTCTGCAAAACATTAGTAATTCCTAATGTTAATGTAACAGTGATGAGATATCCTTATTTGTCTTAATTGTGAAAACTGCAACAAAGAAGTAAGTAAACTTCTTGCATTTCTCTGCTGTGTTTTCCAGCTAAATACAGAAGTGGTTGTTTGGTTGCTTCATGGTTTTGACAACTTAAGACTTCAGGAATTTCAGTACCTCTTTGGAAGTGATTTTTGTACTATTACAGGCTCTTATGTTTTTATTTTAATCTCATGTTGGATTTTCTTTCCTCTACTGCCCATGATCCAGAAAAGATGAGGCTTCTGGAAGGGCTTTATCTTTAGGTAGATTGCTGATCTTCATGTGGAGAAAATATTAAACTCAAACTGAAAAGTCTTCACAGAATCTACCAAGTTGGAAGGGACCCACAAGGATCATTGAGTCCAACTCCTGGCTCTGCATAGGACCATCCCCAAGAGTCACACCATGTGCCTGAGAAAATGCTTCTTGAACACTGTGAGGCTTGGTACTGTGACCACTTCCCTGGGGAGCTTGTTTCCAGTGCCCAAACACCCTCTGGGTAAAGAACACTTTTCTGATATTCAACCTAAACCTCCCCTAGCATGACTTCAGGCCATGCCCTTTGGTCCTGTCACTGATCACCCCAGAAAAGAGATCTTACAGACCTGAACCCTCTAAACTGAGAATCCAAATCTAAAATCGAAGCATAAGTTGTGCTTGTGCCACAATTTGCTGTATAGTCTCTAGCTTTTCAGTTTTAAGAGTTATTTTCTTAATGATGCAACATCTGAGCGATGATGAAAAGACTTAAAAAAAAAAAATGGGCATATGGTACCAACCTGTAGACTTATTTGAAATCCTACATGTTCAAGGAACAAAGATGTTAAAGGACAAACTCTGATTTGCAGTGGATGGATGATAAGGGTTAGTGAACTGTGCTTTTAAGAATATTGTTTAGGCCCAGTTTCTTGTTAATTAATTGCAGTCACAGTACAGTAATGTAATCACGAGCACCAAACACCTCCCAATAATTTTAAACATGTTCTTTGGTGTGGGTTTCATATGTAAAGTAATTAACCAGAAACCTCACAACTACTAAGTCGTATTTTCCAGCTCCTGTACCTAGTCCCTCTATTTGTTTCTGAAACAAAAGTTCCACATTGGTTGAATGTATGGGCGGCAGCACATGCTCTGTTAAAATACTGGAAAGGGCTGTTGAACTAATGTGAGTGGCTGCACAGGAAAACATTTTTAGTGCAAAAAAGAGATTGTTGTTAAGATATCTGTAATTAATATTTGACCTAAAATATTAAGCTAGAAAAGTGGGAATAGACAATTCAGACTCAAGTGTCTGGAGCTTTATTTTGGCTTGAAAGATAAGTGCTGTGTGGTCGCTATTTATAAATTGTGATACTGTTCTTTGTATTGTTTCCATACAAACATTTGTATGTAGTGTTTATAATAATAGGACGAATTTGCTTGCGTATGTCCCCTTGACTGCTTAAATAAGTAGATGTCATGTTACATTCTTTATTTAAACATTTATTATTTTACTGAAGTATAGCCTAAAACACAGTCTTCCTTATCCAGCAGCACTTAATAAGAGGAGAAAAAAAATTCTTCAAGTTACTTTCTTGGTAGGTCTTTCCAAAGTTTCCAAAACATTATATAGCTTTGCTAATGATGGATCAAGCAAAAGGTATCTTAGCCTTTTTTATTAATCCCATCATATTGTCAAGTACTTATGAAATTGCTGATTTCAAATGTACACAACATAACAAGCTTCAAGTTCTTCTTTCATGGAGAAATAGTAATATCACAAAATTTTTAAACATAGGCCTACATACTGTTAGTGCGGGTGATTAAAAGCTTCTGTTTAAAAAAACAAAGCTAACTAAGCTAACTGTAGTTTTAGGAGTTCATAAGGTTTTGATGTATATGATACTTTTGAAGCACATGAATGGTAACTGGTAATTGGAAGAAATGTGCGACCAAATTATTATGGTTTCATAATTTATAAGCTAAGTTACTTAATGCCATACACTCTTTATGAAGTACCACAACACATTAATGAACTGTGTAATGTTTATGAGACATGAGTGTATGTAGATATGGTAAATATGGTTATGTCTGCTGACTAATTATTGCCATTGTCTGATAAATTTACCAAATAAGTAAAATATATATATTATATTATATATCTATCTATATATAACATATATAGATAGATAGATAGATATATTCCCCACACTTGTTTATTAAAGGAATTAACAGTTCAGGGAATATCAGGGCAAGAGTTATCTCCAATTTTGGAGTGGTAAATCTGTTCTGGTTTTGTAATGTGTTTGCATGCTTGTGAGAATATGTTCTTAATATTTGGATTTTGTGAGAGTTATTTTATAGTACTCTGAATATTCTATTTTTACAGAATATTAGGAGATATAAAAATATTGAACTAGTTTGTTGCAGCAGTGTGCATCAAAGAAAGCTAAGTGGATTTCAAGGTTTCAGTCTGGTTGCTTTTTCGTATTGCAGAAGTCTTATATCTTCCGTAACATGTAATAATTCGTAAATCTGCTTTTCCCCAAGGTACTTATTCATTAATAAGAACAGTGTAACTAAATGAAAACTGTGACATGATGTGCACTGTATTAGAGTTGTTATTCTTAAGTCCTGTTTGATAGCTTAAAGATGAAGCTGGCCACAGAATGTTCCTGAATTATATTATCCAGCTGTTATGATGACTGTGGTGTATTTGAGACCATTTACTTTGAATAAAATACCTTCAGTTAATTCAACTATAGTGAAGTATGATCTAGAATCCTTTATGTGTTATGAGAAGTGATAGTTACAAATTCTGATTTTCCTTTTTAAAACAAAAGAAAAAAAGAGAGGCTAGTGCATTATATTAATTCATAGAATTTTAATGTTGCATTTAGTCAGACAATTGATCATCATTTAAAACAAATTTTTTGTGTCAAATCTCTAAAAACATACAATATTATTCTACTAGGTTTGAACCACTCTCCACCTCCTCACTCCCTCCTCTATTACTGTTGCAATATTGCAGTTGCAACAAAATACTAATGATGAATCAAATCAGCACCCAGTTACAATGGTCTGAAGGAGAGTGTGTCAGGACAGGGTAAATGGGATGTTGTTAGATATGAGCAAACAGGAAACCTGAGAAAGAAGAGTGAACGTAGTCAGAGGAATAGAGACCATTGGATTCTGAATTGGGCAGTTGGAGCCATACTTGGTCGTTCTCCATGAGATCAATGACAGCACTGCCAGAAGCTTGGTCGAGGTATCCTTTCTGGTACTCATCGTAGGTGTACATGATGGGGGAACCATTTTTGTAGAGTGCGACCCAAACATTTGTTCCCTTTGCATGTACATGGTAGGAGAAATAGTACAGTCCAGGGGTCCTGCAGGTGAAGATTCCTGTTCTGGGGTCATAGTGTTGCTGCCTATTGTACAAGATTTTATCAAATTTGATGGGGACTGTTGCCGCAGGGTAAGCTTTTGAGAGGATGACACTGAAAGCAGACACCGGCATCCTGGTAAGAGCTTGGTTTACTCCTCCCTTTATGAAAGATATTCCTGATAACTCCCGAGACTCTCCTGCTTTAACGTAGCCTTCAGGCATCTGTGGGATTACAGCTTGGCCAGGGGGACCAGGAGGCCCTGGGGGGCCTGGCATGCCAGGCTCGCCAGTGCTGCCTTTAGGCCCAGGGGGTCCAGGTGGTCCCATGGGTCCGCTTAAGCCTTTCGTGGAAATACCTGCTGGGCCTGGCAGTCCTGGTGCTCCCGGCTCACCCTTTGCACCCTGGGCTCCTGGCAGACCAGGGGGGCCAATGGGACCTCTGATCCCAGGTATTCCTGACGGCCCTCTGGGGCCTGGCTCTCCATTGATCCCTGGCACTCCCTTGGCTCCTTGTGGACCCATTGGACCAGGCAATCCAGGCAGCCCAGCATGGCCGGTGTCACCTTTTGGACCTGGGAGACCTGGTTGTCCCTTAGGACCAGCAAGACCCTGCTCACCTGGATATCCTGGTTTTCCCTCTGCTCCTGGTAAGCCTCGTTCCCCCTTGGCCCCTGGGAATCCTGGGAGGCCTGCGGGGCCCATGTCACCTTTGGGCCCAGGGAAGCCATTCTCACCAGGCAAACCTTTGAGTCCAGGAGGGCCCATGTTCCCTGGTGGCCCAACCAGCCCTGGTTCTCCTGGCACACCAGCTGGGCCTTGGTCTCCTTTAGGACCTGGAAGGCCAGGAGGACCTTCAGGCCCTCTGTGTCCCTTCATCCCTGGCAATCCTGGCTTTCCAAAACCTGGAAGACCTGGGGATCCAGGCAAGCCTGCAGGTCCAGGATGTCCCTTGGCTCCAGGGATGCCTGCTGCTCCTGGTGGTCCCATTGGCCCAGGCTTGCCAATGCCAGCTTCTCCAGGTTCGCCTGGGAGACCCTGGGGACCAGGGAGACCAGCCGCCCCGGGTGCACCTGGAAAACCTCGGTCACCTTTCAGACCTGGCTGACCTGGAAGACCATTTTCACCAGGTTTCCCTACTCCCATAGGACCAGGGGGGCCCCGGGGTCCCTGTGGGCCTGGAAGACCCCTACTACCCGGGCGGCCTGGAATGCCAAATCCACTTTCTCCCTTTTGTCCGTTTATACCAGGGATACCTGGCTCTCCCTTCTCACCAGGGAGGCCCCTCGGCCCCTGAGCGCCTGGAGGGCCTTGTGGTCCTGGCTTGCCAGGGACAGACAGTCCTGCAGGGCCAGGAGTGCCGGGAGGTCCTTGTGGCCCTCTTGGTCCTGGGAGTCCAACAGGTCCAGGTTCTCCTTTCTCACCATTTAGTCCTCTGTCTCCTCGCTTTCCTGGCAGACCTGGCACACCTGGCTTTCCGACTGCAGAGAATCCAGGTGGTCCTGGGGGGCCAGGGGGGCCTTGGGGACCCGGACTTCCAAACCCTGGCTTTCCTGCAGGACCTGCTTGTCCTCTTGGTCCAGGAGGGCCTGGGGGGCCAGGGGGTCCTTGTTCCCCCCTTACCTGCACACCTGTGAGAGAGAAGAAACCAGATCAAGCAGGGCATCTATAACATATTTGAAGGCATGGAGCACTGTGGTGAAATGCATGAAGGGTTAACTTAACTTGAACTTTGTAGAAGTCAAGTTTCAACTACTGTGTTGGTCACTGAGAACCTGACATTCAGAGCAAAAGTGTTTCAGAGCTCTTACTAGTAACAACTGCAAATGTGTTGGAAATATGAGCTACAAGGCCTCTAAAATTTTTTATTTTTATTTCTTAAATACATTTAGGGTAAATAGAGAGCTTAAAAAATGATGTGCAAGTAGATGCAAACTATTAAATAAGGGGAAAAAAAACCCCCAGGGAACAGGTGTAGCAGGGCACCAGACATTTATCTTCATGAATGAAACCACAGGAAGCTTTCTGTACAGGTGTAGCAGCTTTTCTGAAACTTCTTACTGGTACATTTAGGTAGTGAGATTTTTGTCCCTCCCTGCCCCCTACTTCCAAAAGTGGGCTATGTCTCTGGTTCTTTTGTAAACATGTGAATGTTGTATTTTCAAATACTGTGTGAAAGACTGTCATAAAAATTTCACACAATGGCAAGGTCGCAACTGATAATTTCTTTTACTGCTGTCAGAATTCTGGTACTGGTTTGTTTTTTAATAATACGTCATTTTCTTAGTTATCAAAACAGCAGGTGGAGCCACTTAACCAAATGTCACAAATAGCGAAATAAACAAACGAGCTCAATGCTTAGTTTTCTGTGCGTTTTGGATGAGTCTGCACCTTCACGTTGGCATTAGGATGTTGATTTGTGGGACATTACACACAAGTTTAACATGGGTATTGTAAGACTGCTTTAGAAGTTTGCAGCAACTGGCAGCACTATAGAACAAAATGATGTACATATGATGAACCTTAATTTAACAAGTAATTTTAAAGTAAAAACTGAAGGATACAAAAAGAGCCTGGATTCTGGTTTTTTTATAATGGCAACATATTCTGTTTAATGCTTATTTAGAAAAGATTGATAATTGATCAGCAGTTTTATCAGCTATAATTTGCTTTTCAGTCTCTCACAAAAAGAGCAATGTTTGTGTGTGTATGTATATATTACATGTGTATATATATATGAAAGTTTATCCGATGGCTGTTTGGCTGTCTCTTAGATAATAAATTACATTTTATAATCTGTGGCTAGTCTTGAAACAAAAAGGAGGTGAGGAGGAAACTATTCTTTTACATATTGTATTTTAAAAATAATAGTTGTATGCATATGAAATACATTTGATTTTGGTTTGTTATTAGATCTACAAGGTTACCTTCTTCCTCCATTGTCAGGGAAATTGTTCTTATCAAGAAAGTGCAGAGAGTGCATTTTCTTTTTTGCTGATGCATAAAATCAGCACAAATGCATATCACCTTATTTTGCAAACCTTCCTATCTCATCCTTCTCAAGCCAATAAAAAGCAAGATAGCTGTTAAAATGCTACACACAGAAAGCAAAAAAGGTGCTTTTTTTTTTTTTTTGGTGGCAAATTGCTTCAGATTTTAGCTTCAGGGTGCATCTCTTTCTTGCAATTTACCATGTTTTGTATGAGTTGATATCAGTCCTAGGTTCACAGAGTGGTGGGTACTACCTTTTTCGCATAGGATGCCAAAGGCTTTGTCAGCATTCATGTTGTTATAGAAATTTTCTATCAGGAACTATATTGTTTAAATCTGTACTACATTTAGATTAATATTGTAATTTTAATTGTACTGTCTAAAGACAATGATAATTCTTCTGAGGAAAGGACTGATGAGGACATTAATGAAATGGGATTTTTACCAAGAAAGTTGAAGTATTGGTTGGCTTCTCTTTTATATGTCTCAGCACATACCTAGATGCAAAATTGTTATGCATTCTGTAAGTGCAGTCAAACACTATAAATGTATTGAATTAATTATGTAAACTTTAAAATAACCTGCAATAATGGTTTATTTAAACACTGCTGAATAGTCAGACCTAATTCAGCTATTGTTTTCAGCTTGGACTTTTCAAATATTTCAAGCCAAAGAACTACTGGTTAAAAAATTATGTTCTGGTAATTTTAAAAAATGGTAACACTAAATGCCTAAAGAAAATGGAAGTGTATTCTGACTGACTGGAGAGCTGTCAAGAACAAGAGTTTTAAAACTGTTAAAATAATTTCATCAATTTAAATGAAGATTTAATAGGCTTTGGTTGCCAACAGAAATCTTACAATCTATTAAATGTTGTCCTGAGTCACCAGTTTTGGCCTGTACTAAGATTTCAGTTCCATGATTAGTTGTGATGATCTCTGACAGTCTTCCCTTTTTGAATTCTTCTAAAAACTCTATATAGGATGCTTGTTTTCTTGACTCAAGGATAGCAGTCCTCCGTTTTGATGTTTGTTCACTAAATGAAAATTTGTCAAGTACTTTTGAATGACTGGACTCCCATATCTGTAAATCTGTGGGCTGTTCCTACTTTTGAAGTCTAGTACATAGTCTTTATTACCTTTCCTAAATAGACAGCACTGTACACTTCTCAGATGTTGATATAATTGTTCTCATTCTAAATATGAATTTTGACTCACATTAGATTCTTTGTTAGTATATAAAGTGGAGACTTAGTTCAGGACAATTCCTTTCCCCCTTTTACCCTGTTTCCTGTCTACCCTGATTCTTCCTTAATTTGTTGCTGGTTTCCCCCTTTCCAAATGTTTTCTATAGAGGGGGAAGAAAACCTTTATGAGGAGAAGTAAATGAAGTATGATAGAGGATAACCAAGTAAATGTTGTACTTCACTTAAAAATAGTATAAATATGTAAGTTATTCTGAATAAAGTCATGGAAAAACACTATGAAAAGTTAATGAGGGGAGAGGGAGGAAATGCAGCTTTTAACTCAATGAGAATTCTAGTTAATAAATCCTCAGAGTAACTGTTTATGTACATATACCTAAATTTGATCTGGGACTACTGTTAGGATTCCAGAAAGTCCTTGTGCTGAAAGCAGTGGATGAAACTGTGGCAGTATTTTGGTGCAGCCCAGAAGAAAATGGTGGGGGGGGTGGGGGGGAAAGTTTCCCAGCCATGCTGTTTTCACTTGATTCTTACTGCAGAGATTCTTGAAGCTTAGGGGCTGGAGCTGGTTGGTATGAGACCAGAATCTCTTTGGACTCAGTGTGTGCTGCACATGAGCAGTCAGTCCATAGGATCAAACTAGAGCTATTCTTAAAAGAAGGCAATGTGAATGCAATGCCCTGAGCAGCAACTGTTCTGCTCTCCAGAATTGTTCTGTGTCCTTTCTCTGATGAAGAGAAGCTTATTTGCAAATGGTATTTTCCAAGTCCATCATTCAATTTCCTCATTTCTGCCCAAGTGTGATTATTACAACTAAAGTAGATGGGATACAGCAAATATTATATCTATTCTGAATAGCCTATGCTGTCTATAATAAAATAATGCTGTTCTCAGGGGAGGGGGTAAAGCAGGATGTTTACAAGGAAGATTTAGTTCTCTTAATTTTAGTGATGACGATTCTGAATAGATAGTACTGGTCAGAAGCTTTGATTTCAAGTTTTTAAAAAAGAATTTGACCTAAGCATGGAAAAATAAAACAGAACTCAGTAGTTTCAAACACTAGGTGTAGACACCTATTTAACTTAAAAGGATGGAGAGGATAACCAGAAATAAGATGGCACAATGTATAGCATTGCAGTAATGTATTATCATAACCTGCCACAGGACTGTCTTTGCAATGAAGAGATGTTTTTTTATAATAAAGCTAGAATTGTTATATTGCTATGAGATTATTCTGATCATTATAATATAAGCTTAAATCACTCATTAAAAAAATATGTAGAGATTTGTGTCACATTTTTACTACTATGTATCATTTTATTTTGCCTTTCTAGGCTTCAAACTGGTCTTCATTTGCCCATGTGTATCATATATATATTTAAATTCACACCTAAGGTATGTTTTAAGTAGAAATAACCGGACTAATTATGTAAAAGTTCTTCCTGAATATTGTAGGTGACAGGTCTGTTGCTAGAAACCTGAGTGTTGAATCAAGAAATCTGGAGATGATTAGCCTGTTATATATAATTATGTACGCAATCATGTCATATTACTCTGACTACTGAAGATGAGATCTGGAGCTATTATTTTGTTTCTGCTCTGTATGCCTTTAGTTATTAGATGTGCATCTTTGTCAATAGGAGGCAACTCCAGAGCCACTGCAAATTCCTTCTTCAGTGATAACATTATTTTAATAAACCTAAACTGTTAGTGAAAGTTGAATAGTATAAACAAAGAGCTTTTGTTCAGGTATTGACCCTCTAGGAATAATCGTGATAGTTTATTATGAAAAAATAGTAAACTTACCTTGACTCTTTACATTGAATGGTAGAAACTGTGGCCCCTTGACGCTGGATTGTTTCTGGTATCGCTCAGAAAAATATCCATCACTACCATGGACAATGTTCAGACAAAACAGCAGCAGTAAAGATATTTGTAAATGCATGTCTCCAAATCTGTGCTGTGTTAGAAAGGGTAGAAAAGGTTTGTTGTAAAGAAAAGCTGTTCACTTCTGTTTCTTGTGCATGAATAAATGAGGGGTTTTTAAGTATTAGTATTGAAAGTAACATTATTTTGTGGTTACTTCCATCTGCTCTCACTAGTTGTGAAAAATCCTCTAAGAAAAAAGGAATCAATATTGCTATCACTTTGAATGATAGAGCACTTGTATAGATAGCTTACAGGCAGTAGTCTCACTCTTAGGAAAAGAATAATTTTACATGAATACCTGTCTATTCAAGACAACTATCTGCAGAAATAGTGATAATTTAAACTAGAGCTCCAGAAGTCCAGGAGTTGCATATATCAAAAACTCCTGAAATAAAGAAAGTTTTCAGTGACAATACACAGACACTCTACCATGACCTTACTACCTCTGTCTGATGCTATTGCAAATGCAGGATTAAGTTTTGGGTCCTTCAGCAGCAGTGGTAAAAATCTCACAATGTCTTGCTTGAAACCAGGGTTTTATCTGTAGCCTTCCAAATAGCCCCAGTGGCAGTGAAGATGCTGTCACTGGCCCTTAATTAACAATCCTCTTCACTCCCCAGGCTCAAAGCAGGTATCCTGTAGAAGTTACCTTTCAAACCAAAGAGAATGAAATGAATTCATAACATACCAAAGTGCTGTGGAGCTCCAATGCAAAGTGGTAAGGGAGAGCAGTCAATCCTCCTCTTTTGAGGGTTCTTCTGCCACTGGTGAGTGAGCAGAAGCTGATGATTTCAAGTGTCACCCTTGAGTATTTATATGGTTTTCCCCTTAGTTGGGTGACTGCTGGGCATAAGCTCCTCCCCAAAAATCAGAAAGCAGTAATTATCTGTGTGTGTATAAGTGTGTTTTTTAGGGGTTGGGGGGAGCTATTTTGGGCAGTCATCCTAGATTCTGTAAAGGGTTTTGGTTTTTTTGTTAGATTTTTTCCTTTTTCTTCTTTCCTTGGATTTCTTATTGTTTATGATACTGTATTGCTCATAGCTTTCTTTTTTTTAAAAATCATATGGCCTCTCTGTTTTTAGAATTGATAAAGGTAATTTGGAAAAGGTAATTGGGAAAAGTCATGAACTAGTAAGTATGGTTGGTAATTTGAAGTGTGTCATTTAAATTTCTCTGTAAATGTTTTAAGGGAAGACCTATACATTTTGAACTTCGGTGAGCTGTTACTTTCAGGAGTAACCCTACTAAAGTCTGTGGAGATTACTTATGTGAATAATTGTTCACTGGGATACAAGCAGAGAACTCAAAATCAGTTAAGATGTTACTAAGGGAGTTGTGTGAGAACATGACTACTTTTAAGCAGTTTTTATTTTAGAAGATTTTTATCTTCACACTGTATTTCTAGACTTCTGTTTCGGTGCTGGAGGTACAGTACTACATAGATAATGCATGTAATGTTTTTCTATTATGAAATCTTGAAACGTAAACTTACTTTACACAATGAGATCTTCATTGTTTCCAGTTGTGGTGAATGTACTGAAATCCATACTGCTTAAATTTGCAAGTGTCATATAGGCTGATGTTTGGGAGTTTCAGTGTAGCAAATTTAAACTACTGCTGTTTTTACTGTTGGAGGTTCAAACTTGATAATGGTTTTAGCTGTCAAGAGATTTTGTTAAACCAGTCTTGCTTAAATGGACTGTATCCACAGACTGTGACTTCTTCTTTTGAATAAATCTCACAGATTTTAAATGAATCTTACAGTGTTTCTGCATCACTTTATTAATGTTCAGTACTAAATAGGTAGTAACTTTCAGTCTTTGAATTGTTTGTGACTCTGAAATGTCATTTAAAATTGAAGGACAAAGTAAGAGACAAGAAACAAACTTTTTTGATTTAGGATGAAACTATAGAATTAAATATATAGTGCACTTTGCTTTCAGTAAATATACTTTTATATGAATTATCTGTGTATTAAAACTCCTTTGCCAATTGCAGACTTCTTTTATGTTTATAGATGATATTCAGGCTTGTAGGAGTTATAGGAATGCTAATAAATAACATGTACTACTGTCAGTTCTCATGCAAGGTAGGTGCAGAAAGGGACACCAGTTACCATTCCAACCAAAAGACTGATCTGGTGGCCCTGAACTGTGCGGCTACCCTGTGGAATGGCAGGTTAACATGGGCTGATTTTTACCTGCTTTGTGTCTTTGTTTAATTCCACACTCCTCAACTTTTTTGGCTTTTATGTATTATGGCAAATATCCTAGAACACAAGTTACTGTACTGAAAGAGACCAATGGACCATCAAGTCTGTTCTGCTTACAATTGTGCTAATACCTTTGCTTACTAGAGGACTGGATTAATGTTTTAACTTAGACTGTTGCGATCATTTATTTAATGTATTGTTGAACGGTTCTTTTCTTCTATTCTTCTTCTAGCCATCCTCTAAACAACATTATGTTCTATTTTTGTAATTATACCCTTTTTACTGCAGGGGTCTTCCAACTGAAGCCTGGTTTCTCCCATAACCTTGCATGCCTGATCTGGTCAGTGATTTTCAGGGAATGTGTGCATGTGTCTGAGGTGGCATTTCTACTCCCCATATGTGCATTCAGTTTCTTTTGGTCTTTGGGACAAGGAAGCTCTGTCCTCAAGTTTTTTGTGTAACTTCTCAAGTTGCTTTATTTAAAAAATTAGTCTCTATAAACTCAAATGAGAGTCCAGTGATGACTGGATTGCTATCTTTTGACAGAGGTAGCAAATATATGGGCATAAAGTTTATTTCCTCCTTGAAGAAAAGCAACTACAGACCCTTTTTTGGTTCATATAAATCCAAAAATAGCTTTTGATTTTTTTAAAGCATTTAAATATACAACCCTCAGTGGGAAGTGTGGTCATTGCTAATTTGACAATATTTGGTTAAGAAAGTTAAGAACAGCAGGCAACAGTTTTATGCACACACAGTTTCATGCTAATTTGTCACCTAATTCATAAATACCCCCAAAGTAGGCACACTTATGTTACAAAAGCATCAATAATGTGCACTGATATTTGACCAGCAGCCTCGCTTCCTGCTTGGCTCCTTCTGGGCAGGAAGGTGAATAATGTCTGTGTATCCCTGCATAAATAGGGATGATTGTGGGGTCAAAAGGTATATACAGGCAAACCCGTTGTCCTTGTGATTAACCTGAGCTCCACCCTATTGTGCTATCTTATGCCACTTCTTTGGTTTGAGGTTTTGTTTTTTGTGGGTACAGGAAACTGAGACAGAATTGGAGTTCACTGCTTTTGTGTGTTTTCCTTATTGCTGTGGATATTTCCTATTGGCAGAGCACTAACATGCATTTAGCTCTAAGTGTGCATATGAAAGGTGTGCTTCAGTATATATTTGCACATGCAAAAATACCTGCAATAGATGTACTTGTGTATATCTATTTACAGTAACAGCACATTTCAAACAAGGTTATTTGCAAACCTGTTTTCAAAATACAAACCTTCAGATGCTTTTGTTTTATAGCTATGCATTTAGAAAGTTGTCTTTGCTTACAAATGGAGGTGTCTTTTGCTCCCTCCTCTCCCACCACCATAATAGTCAGGAATAAACTTTAATCCATTCCACTACTGCAGAACTTGCTTTTTAGTTGTGTATTCACTACATCTTTCTATGTGAAGGTAGTCATAGTACATGTTATAGCGATGAGATATAACTGAAGCTGAAGATTAACTGCAATAAAATGATCTATTTTAAATCTCTCTGGATCATATGAATTAGGTACTGAAGTTAAAGCCTCTAATGCCATTGGCAGCAGTCTGCAGTGTTTCATCTTATTTGATGACTGGATATTCAAATTGTTGTTGAATGTTGTTGAAAGCATGCACTTACACATGCTTTCCAAAACTCCTTGTTCCTTTGGTGTCTTACTCCCACAGTGTCAGTGAAAACACATGTAACATGGAAGTGACACCATGACTTGGGAAATGGGAACTGACTTTCACCACAGTCCTGCAAGTTATGCAAAAAGTCACTTGAATGAGTCCCACAATAAGCAACTGCTTATGAGGGAGAAGTGAGGAACATCTTAATTAAACATAAATTATAATATAACAAGCAACCAGTCCTTCTCATGCGCCCCTCAGAAAAAAAAGAAAGCTGAGAAACATAACTCCATAAAAGGTTAGGCTAGGTCCTTGCAGTAGTTGCTTCTAGCACCATCTCTGGTGAATGAATTATCCAGTCTCCAATTTTAAGCTTTCAAAGAAAGGTGCTTAAGAATTTCCACAAGAAGTTTGAAAGCCTGCCATGAAATTAAAGGAATAATGGGGTTTCCTAGTTTGTGGTGTGCTTTATGACACTCTGGAAACTCCTAAATCATTTCAACTCCACGGTTTAAAACTGTCCTCTCTCCTTTTCTGTCACACTACAGTGAAAACTCTTTTTATGCTCCCATGATGGCAGCCAGGTAAGCCCTCAACGGGAGTACAGAGGTGTTCCACTGTACCTGATGGGGAAAACTAATACAGAGAGGTTTCAGCTGCTTACTGCTCTCAGTCAAATGAACCCAAAGGAATTGAAAGAGGGAAAATTTGTTAACTCAGTAGCTGTGGGAAATCTGGGTGGTTGCTTGTTTGTTTGTTTTTCTTGTTTATTTGTTTTGTATATATTATAACATTGTATTTGCATGGAGGGTGCTTTCTGTTCCAACACTAGCTGCTTGGACTGCACAGGACTAGAAAACATCTTGGTGAAGAAAATATTTACCTTGCTAATTGAAAAATAAATAAAATTTCTTTTGAGTTTCAGAATGTATGTCGTCTTTTGTAATTAAGAGGCTTGTTGAGGTAATCTGCAGGGCTGTGCAGTCCTACATATTTTGAGATATAATGAAGAATTCTCTTTAAACAAACAAAGCAAAACAAACTTTGTTACTCCTGCAGTCCTGTGCTAGTCTTTTTATAGATTTAAAGTCCTTATACTTTTAACACTTGTAATTGTGGTTGAATAAATGTCCTCCTTTAAAGTAGCAA